AGGAGATCTCGATCGTTTGTAAATAAGTACATGTAATACAACATTCCTACCAGGCTTGTCAGGAAAAATATTTTTATTTGAAAGACTGAATGGTAATACAGATCTTGATCTCCTTGGACATCCTTCATAAATACTTAAGAGTTTTAAGGTGTACTCTTGCCTTCCTTTGCCAGGAGCAAATCAAAGAATAGACTTGTCCATTTCCTAGTAAAGAATTATATTTTTAAAGCAATGCCACTTTAGAACATGTGGTGATAATTTGATTTTTAATGTATGCGTATAGCACATAAATTGGGAAGTTTGATGGTGCGAATTGCATAGACCGAGTTCAGTCAAGCAGAATCACTTCGCAGTAATACTTGCAATGTGACAATAGTTGAGCAGTTATTTTGGTGTTGTGACACTTAGGGTCCTAACCACAAGTACGAAACGCAACTTGAAGTAGCACATACTGTAGCTGACCTTGACTAATCTTGAAAAGCTGAACAGGATCAGATCTGGTTATTATTTGGAGAGAAGGCCACCAGAAAATCCTGAAATCGGGAAGTGGGAAGGTTTTTTTTTAAGCCTTAGAAAAAGACAGTTAATTCCCAGTAGCTGGTAAAAGGTGCCTTAGGACTGGTGCTGTGTGATCTTGCTTACCAACATGGCCACAGCATTTTCCAGCTGCAGCTTTGAGACTGTTTCAAAGATAGGCCTGTGGAGAACACCTCAGAGTGACCATACCTTACAATTATTAGGATAGGATCATTGAAGAGACTGGGATCCTGTGGAGTCCCTGATGCCAGGGGACCAAATCAAACGCATGCACATACACTCTCTCTGCTGAGTTTTAGGAGTGACCTGAGCAACTGTGGTATAGGACCTTGAATTCCCAACCCTCAAAACTGCCCCAACTAAATCCCATCAATAGTGAGGGAGCTAGCAAGATCCACGGAGGAGCATCCAAAAACTCATCTCTCGGGGTAATCCAGACAGGGATGTGCTCAATTGTCAGATCTGAAAATTGAAACATACAGGAATAATAATGTAAAGAATGAGGGACTTCTCAATTAATGTTTGAAATGTAGGTAGTATTTCTTTAAATGCATAGAACGGGCAGCTGTTAGCAGGTTCTTATGATGGTTGTTTGAGAACTGAAAGGGCAGGTAGTCTATGTATGTAAGTAAGTATGTATGTATGTATGTACGTATTTATGTATTAAATTTTATTTCTATAGTTGCCATCTCAGCATTCTATTCTGCTTCCTTGCAATTCCTTGATTCCCCTTTGCAGAAATGCAGAGTTCACAGCAGGTGGCAGCCCCATGCCAAAAGTGGATGTATCTCAAAAAAGCTAAGCAAAGCGTGATTGGACCTGGTTAGCATTTGGATAGGAGACCACCACCGCGAGATTCAGAAGATTAAGCTAGACTGGGAACGAAAAATAATCTCAGAAGGTGGCTGAATCGAACACTTCCATAATGCGTAGTCGCAAGGAATTCAGTTTGACTTAAGGGGGAGGCTTTCCCTAAAAAGACAGCCAATTTAGTTATAGTAGTTAAAGGCACTTGGTTAGAAACACGCAACACATTTCCTCTTATATTGCTGTGGGGGGGGGCAGGGAGAGTCAGGGGAAGTCCTACATTTTCCACTTTGCTAGTTTGGGTTTGAGCCAGTTGGGTGTGGTGTCATGGCACCAGACTAGAAACTGGGAGACCATGAATTCCAGCTCCTCCCTTGGGTGACCTTGGGCCAGTCATTCTTTCAGCCCTGGGTAGGAGGCAAGGGCAAGGCTGGAAAACCCTGCCAAGAAAAATCTCAGGGACTTGTCTAGGCACTCACCAGTCAACACTGACTCAGGGGGATTCTCCCCAGATTTTACCTAGAGGAGGAGGATTGGTCCAAGGCTGATAAACCAGTTGAAAACAAGCACAACACTGCTTTAGCTGTCTTGATCCTCATGTTCTTGGCAAATGCTAACAGAGTGAAGGATTGGAGAAGAAACCACCTGCCTTCCTTAACCATCTATTGATGTTTTTACAGGCAGCTTTTTTTTCTGATTTGTCAGATGCGTTTGGTAATTGAAGACACCATATTGAATAGGTGGAAGGAGTCCATTTTGAAAAGGGCTTTTGTGTGGGATTCGAATCTCTCCGCTCTTGGCTCGGGTCTGGATTTTTGGTTGTTAAAATGACCAGATTGACTGCAATTGCTTTTAGGATGCAGAAGTCGTAAGAATATACTCAAAACCCTCCTAGCACAAGCTTGGTTGTTCGGGGTGTACCAAGTAACCTGTAGCACCACCTGGTGGCAACCAATGAAAATTGAGCATCAGCTGCTCTGCAGGGACACCCATGAGTGCAGTTCACAAGAGTATTCAGGGGTTCTCAACCTTGGCAACTTTAAGACTTGTGGACTTCAACTCCCAGAATTCCTCAGCCAGCTTTGCTGGCTGAGGAATTCTGGGAGTTGAAGTCCACAAGTTGCCAAGGTTGAGAACCCCTGATCTAGTACAAAGTAAAGGAGATAACGTATAGTAACATTGTTTACTGATGTTTATACCCCGCTGGGGGTTCTTTTAAAATAAGGTTCCAAAAATTGCACCTCGTTTGGGGAACAAGCCCCAAGGATGCAGATGTGTTGTGTAGGTGTTAGCAGTACTGTCCTCACTAGACGTTCATTGAACAGTAGCGCAACCCCAAGATAAGGATGGTTGAGAGAGGTCGCGCAGGCGGTAGTCTGGGGAAGTAGACGGGAAATCCATTGAGATTATAGTGAGGCGCGACCCTCGTTTTGTTTGCCCAGACTGCGTTATGTAGGCGGCGTGTTGTGTAATCTCGTTTGTGAAGTGTTTGCAAAGCAAGCAGCTTTTTCAGCCCCCTCTCTTCGTGAGTTTGGAGCTTACCCAAAGTGCCTTGCAGCAGTCGCTTTGCATAGTGGGCGGTGCTACGACTGTGCACAGCGGGGAGGCGCTCTTACGCTTCGAAGCGCTACCTTTCGTTTTGTGAAGATCTTGCTTTGGCGCGCTTGCCTAGCGAGCGGGGGGGGGGGGAGAATTCATTCTTCACTTCCTCTTTAGGGTTGTTTAGACTGCATGCCTGTACGTGTCCTCGTTGGGTTTAGGACTTTGTTGATATTTTTTTTCTTTTTAGTTGAAGCCCTTAGGAATGTTACAAACCAGCTTTCTCCATACGGACGCAACCCTACATCATTAGACTGCAACTTCCACAAAGGAGGATTGTGGGAAGTGTAGTCCAGTGCCCTTGAAAGGCACAGGCGTGAGGAGGGCTGCCCTAGATGGGTAAGCTTCCTGTAGCACAGTGTTTCTCAACCTTGACAATTTTAAGGCATGTGGACTTCAACTCCCAGAATTCCACAGCCAGCATTGCTGGCTGTGGAATTCTGGGAGTTGAAGTCCACATGCCTTAAAATTGTCAAGGTTGAGAAACACTGCTGTAGCAGAAAAGTTCTGCAGGTAAATCCCTTCTGTGTTTGGAGTTTAGTGTGCTGCTGGAGGCTATTTATCTCTGAATTCTGCAGCAAGTACATTCTGGGAACTATATAAACTTGGTACTTAAAAGGTTTTCTAATATATTTATTAGGTTTGCTTCATTTCACGATGCTTCATGCAAACGCTTCTCCAGTCTGGTTCCTTGCAGGTCTGTTGTGGCTGCAAATCCAAGAGTGCCAAGCTTTGTAGTTAAAGAACATTTTGCAGGAGGGATAAAGGTTGTTTTAAAACTATAGTTTTGTAGAATTTAGGTTTTCTCTTTTTTTTTCTTTTGCTTTTAACTTAGTATTTTTAAAAAGTAATTTTGGGAAAGTTTACATCTTACCCTTCATGTGTAGCATAAGTTATTTTTTTCTGAGCCTTTAATTTAAATTTGAGGGGTTTTTTTTACATGTAAACCAATAGATTCATAGTAATTGTGTTAAAGGTGTCAAGAGTTGGAATAAGTTAAATGCAAATACTGCATTATTGGTCTCTCCTCCCCTCCACCTTGTTTGAAGTATGTATTTGAAGTATATATTCAAAATCCATAATTCATTTATTAAACTTATATGCTGCCCAATTTTCAATGACTCTAATTCTTTGGTTAGTCATATAAATGTACTGCCCACATAAGGATCCCCAAGACATCAATATGGCTTTCATAACGTCTTGAAAGATTATTAATAAAGAATGCTAACTGGATATTATTTTAAATAACATTCATTGAATATGAATACATTGTTTTATTGCTGCTATGGTACTACATGATATTTTCAAAATGTAGTAAGTTTGGTAAACATGTCAACAACATCAATTTATGCAATATTTGGCCCAGTTTTTTGTAACTGTTAATGTTAATTTGCTTACTAATAACTTCTAGGTTACAAAATAGTGCATCTTCAGTATAGTTTGATTTGCCATTTTATGTATTTCAAATAATGCGCCTCTCTCCTCATTTGCTTGTCTTAAACCAGTATTGGTAACTTTTATGGAAATTAATCTTTAAACTTGCAGCTGTTCTACTTATTTGCATTTTCCTGAGCTGTGGCTAGGTTTCCTGAATCATAACTAAGAAAAACCACAAACAAAATACACTACATAACCGGCTTTAATTACTCCACTCTTCTGTCAGGACTTACAATGTGGGTTAATTAATCCATACATAATAAACTACCAAGCTTAAAACTTCAATATTACTCTGAAATCCAGACTCCTTAACCTGCCATTTAAGTATATGGGAAGCAAGGACAGAATTAGCAAGAGAACATTTACTGTCCTGAGCAAAGTTGGGTAACTGACTAGAGGATTTACTCCAATAAAGGTGCATAGCATCAGAGGGGACATTGGTTTCTGCCCATCTTAATCATTGAATTGGGTGTATTTATTTCAATAGCAGTTGCCTAATTAGTCTTATCTACAACATTGGTTACCTAGAAGGTTGCATATTCACTGTTTCATATTCATGGTTTTTTCCCATATTCAGAGTTTGCCTGCATCTTTTTTACTCTTTTTTTGTTTGTTTTCAGGTTGTCCTGCTGGGCTTGGACATCTTATCTGCACTGGTGTCACGGCTTCAAGATAGATTTAAAGCTCAAATTGGCACAGGTGAGGTAACTGGAGCCAAGGGATAGGCTGCTCTATTAAACAGGGTGTACTGTCTTGGTAACTTTCCCACAAATTAGGTTTATTTCATGATGAAACGAAGGGTCATATGTGTGGGCCAGCTTGTTCTTAACTTGTTAGTTAGAATTAACAGCAACCTGCAATAATTTAAAAAATCAGGAACTTTGCCATTGATATGAAGATAGAAATTATTTTGCATTGTAATAGTGTTAGATTAAAAAACATAATTATTTTGCTTTTACAGTTTTCCCTGAGGAACAAGTTTGGTTCATACAATATACTAACCTAAAATGCAGTTAGATCACGGGTCTCAAACTGCCGGCCCACGGGCCGGATGCATTATAGCGAAACTGCGCCCACCCCAATGCCGGCAATAGCAAAAAGGTTGTGATACGCCACGACACGTCATGTGACATTGCGAGTTTGACACCCCTGAGTTAGATGGTTCAGGATGCAGTGGGAATCCAACTTTAATATCACAACGTGTTTTAGCACATTGTGTGAAATAGGCCACTATGTTAAGCCATAATATGGCTTGCTTATTTGGCTAAATATGTCATAAGCATACAGCAATTGTATGAACCCCGATTTAGGATTTAGTGGGTGGTGTGAACTCAGCAACAAAAAGTGTGCCCTAGCGTTTGCAGTCCAAAGCTTGATGATTCTGTTTTATGGCATCACATTATAATAATAAATATATTTATACCTGCTTCTATCTGCATTGTTGGGGCAAGGAGAAGAAGGAAAGAGACTCTTTCTTGCAGAGTGTGCAAAACATTATAAAAAATATGGGCACGCTGTCGATTGGGAAAAAAGATGGAAAAGAAATTAAGTTTGTAATCAAAGAATCCAGCTAAAAATCCAGGCTCATATTCTCTTTTCAAACTTTTTTTTGTCTCATAGTTTAGAGGTTAACTCTTTGTACGTCATTTTTAAAGTAGAGATGATTATATCCTGAATGCTATAAGCACTTGAATGAAATTATAGACTCGGCACCAATCACGCTAATGCTAGTTTTCAGCTGATTGGATAATATACCTTTGAGCTTTGTACAGGACATTGGGAAGTCATGAAGAGTCAGTCTGGTGTAGTGCAGGGGTGTCCAACTCGCCGCATCATGCGAACGTGTTGTGACGTATCGCAACTTTTTTCCCCTTGCTGGAGCTGGGGTGGGCATGGCTTCTGCATGACGCATCTGGCCCGCGAGCCGGCAGTTTGACACCCCTGGTGTAGTGGTTAAGGTGCTGCCCTAGAAAACAGAAGATTGTGAGTTCTAATCCTACCTTAGCTGTGACAACCAGCGCTCTCTGCACAACCCACCTCACATGGTTCTTGTTGTAAGGAAAATAGGAGGAAAAGGTGGCATTTGATATGTTCTCTGCCCTGAGTTACTTATAAAAATAATAAAGACAGGATAAAAAAAATCTTAAAAAAGTTAGTACCTGTGAAAGATTCTCATATATGTGTGATGATACTGAATTATTATTTATATTTACAGTAGAGATTGCTGAACCTTTAAGGACTCTTGCACCTAAGATACATAAATATACAATCAAGTAAAAGTGTAAAATAAGTGTTCACAAACTAATAAAAGCATAGAATAAAATAAAGCTTATTAAATCAAAATGCCTTCTGAAAAAGCTCAGAAAGCAGTCAGGTGGGCATAAAAAAGGAGCATTTCTCCTTACTAATAGTTTCTCGAAGGTAGGCTGAACTAGTCAGGGCAATTCCAATGAGTGAATCTACTCATGCGAATAATTAGCAGTGAGTTATTTAGGGTTTTAAAAGTTAATGCCAGCACTTTAAATTGTACCCTGGAGCCTATTAGCAACCAACGCAGGTCCCACAACATTGGGTATAATGTATTCCCACTGGCAAACACTGGTCAGCATACAGGCTACTGCACTCTGAACTAATTGCATTCTTCCGTGTGATCTTCAGAGACAGCCCCAGGTACTGTGTGCTTCAGTAATCTGAACAAGTGGTGAAAATGAGGACATGAGCCACTGTAGCAAAATCTTACAACCCCAGCTAGGGTCACAATTGATGCACCAGCAGAAGCTGGAAAAACACACCTGCCCCTCCCCCTCTGAACCATAGCCTCCAAACTGCTATTGTAGCAGGATCCATGAGTCCCAAAGAGTCTCGTGTCACTAATTAACGTTAATGTAAATGTGACTGGTTGCCAAGTGCCTAAAGTGCAGTCACATGACTGCTGGTGTGTGTGTGTGGCAATCGTAACTTTGAGGATGGGTTGTAAGTAACTTTTGGGGGGTTCAAATGATTGTTAAGTGACTGGTCATTAAGCAAAGTCTACTTGTATTGGATAGTTTACAGGCAGCAGCCATTAATACAGTGCATGAAAATAAATACGATTGGACATACTTGGAAAGCTTGCAGCATATACAAGCATCATAATGGCAGGGCAGCCTTTTTCACAGCCTGTGTCTGTTTCTTCTTCTATAAGAGCAGCTTACAAAACACCGCCCGAGGCATTTGGGTAGACATATTTTAGTGTTGATCTGAAATGCCAACTCTTGTTTTTCTGAATCCTCTTTTGTGATTGCCTTTCTTTTTGTCTCCAGTGTTACCTAGTCTAATTGACAGACTGGGAGATTCAAAAGACTCCGTACGAGAGCAGGATCAGGCCCTGCTGTTAAAAATCATGGAGCAAGCTGCTAGTCCCCAGGTGAGTTCTTGGAAATGTACAGCAGTCAGGGAAACCTATGGTACCTCTTCCAAGAAAACCTTTCACAAGAGGGTTCAATTCGTATTGGACAACTCTATTGTTCAAATAGGATGGGTGCTGTGTATCTATCAAAAGCATACAGGTCGAAGAAGTACTGTAGCAGCAAAATTGTCCTCAGTACTTTGGGAAGCCAGCAGAATAGTAGCAGGATTTATATAAGTGCAGAAAATATCCTTAATTGAAGTGACCAAGAACATAATCTAGAATCTTTTTAATGATGTGATAAAGCTGGAGCATATAGCTAACCTGTGTGTTTGTTCAGAGTATTTGTGCTCCTTTTTTTAAATCAAAGTAAACCGGAATTGAAGCATACTTTTTGTAGGTACCAAAACAGGCACAGAGGAATG